CAATTTGGGATGAATGATAAGCTTCATGTTGAATCCTAATGATAAACACATAAATGTTCATTATGTTGAATTGCCTTGGTTAACCAATTCTCTCAAATATTTGAGCATCTCATCACCTTGCTTAATTGCAAGTTTTCTAGTTATTCAAGTCTTTTAGTTTTCAAGCAATCATAACACCCCCCCTTTAGTTTAATTGTAGTTAGTTAGTTTATTTACACTAGTTCTTTTGGATTGTATTGGTGATTGAATACAACCATTTCCCCGATGATCGACACCCTTTTTTACCATTATATTACGTTTTATTTGCAAACAAAGGGTGTAATTTTCTTGGTGGACTTGACATCCCACCAGCCTGTGTGAGCGGATGCCCTTCCAATGTCGACGGACCGCTTCCGTCGAGGGAGTTTATTGGTCTAACCGGGCTATTGTCGTCGCCTTCCTGCTGTATCGGTCATATATCCGTCATTTCCAACACCTGATGTTGTGAAGTGGGTTGTGCTGTACTGGGTGCACTTCCGGATGGCGCCAACTATTATGATATGTCTCCTGCTCATCTCCTTCTCCTTGAGGGATGGAAATGAAGGGCCTGAGAATGACAACAAATAAAACAAGACCGTCAGTCGTCGTCCGGGAGGTTGTCCCAGAATAAGGCTCCGACGATCAAGTTAGTTCGTGGTTCGAGTGAGAGGGTGAGAAAGTATGAGATAAATGGTTAAGGTTGTGAATGTCGGTCCCTTCTCTTGGAGGAGAAGGGACCTTTTTATACCTGGAGTCAGGGGGACAGAATCCCGACCATAGCTTCTACTTTTTTAGGTCTGGCAGGGACAGACGGCTTCCGATTGGTAGATCGTGCCCCGTGAGTGGCTGTTTGCTATTGGCGCAGGCTTGCTAGGGGATCAGCGTCCTGAGCATTACACCCGTCGCTCTGGGGAAGACTGGTACTATTTTGTCTTGACGTTGGCCTTGGCATTTGGGCGCCAAGGAATAAATTCGGGGTTGCGACAAGCAAGGGCGAGGACGCGGCGCTAGGCATACACCGTCTTTTGCCCAAGCCGTCTATTAAACTGACGGTTCTGTTATACCTAACGTATTCTTAATGGGATACGTCAACAGGGCCATTCTTGCAATCTTTCTCAAACCCAATGGTCCAAATGCAATATTCTTTCATATTAGGGCTAAAATTGAAAATACCTCAACATCGGGACATTACAACTACCGTGATTACCCAAAGTATTATCATAATGTCGTGTCTAATTATTTAGAAATATAAATGTCTGTTGTGAGGGTTTTGGGGAAAGATAAAATAATGGGTTGGGTAGTAACGGGTTTTTGGGAAAATAAAATAATGGTGAGAGGTCATACATTGTATTATCGGGACCAATCATCTAATAGAGTATAGGTGACGACCACTGACTATTCTATGTAGTCCGGTAGAACACCAGTTGGGGGTGTTAATGATTATACTTTTCAGGGAAAAGGAAAGTTGTTCATTCGAGTACTCTATCCCCCTCAGGGTTGCCTTGTTGACACGTAACGCTACGGATTCACCGGAGCAGTATTGTCTACTCACAAAGATCCTTTAGGGCAAGTCTCTTGAGAGTAAGAATAACGGGAATGGGTAATAATGGATTATTTGTTTATTGTGAAAAATATATAATTACAATATTGTGGGTTGAAAATCCTATGTGCTCACTAGATTTCCCAACCTGACCCACTCAGTTTCCTTGTATCACAGGTAGCGATACGAAGATACTGAAAGATAATGTAATTATCTGCTGACAGATTCAAGGAAATGTAGATAGTTAGTATATTGAGATTTTGTAAGTCTGGGTTTATGCTTATGTTTCTTGTATCAGTTATGGCATCCCAGGATTTTAAAATATAAAATCTTCTAAAATGCCTTGATTTTGATATTATATCATATCAAGCATATTTTGGAACCAATTCCACATTATCAAATGTTTTAAATAAGCATAAAAAAGAAGTTTTAAAAAGACCGTGATTTACCAATTATCCTTTAATTAACCAATTAAATTAATTTAAATCATTAAATATTTAAATAATTATCTTCAATTAAACACTTAATAAAATAATTCAAATTTAAATCATAAGGGATTAAATAAATATCTTCAATTAACCAATTAATAGGATAATTCAAATTTAATTCTAATCCCAAAAACTCTTCTAATTTTCGAAAAAGGATTAGGGTTACTAGGTTTTAAATTATCCAAAATTTGAGGCATTTAAAATTGTAATTACTGAAACTAGAAAACTCTAAAGGATACCTATCATTTTTGAAAATAAGGGGTGGAGGCTAGGGTTTCAAGAACCCTAACCATTTGCAAAAATTTAAGCTTTAGGGTTTAATTTCCATAAACCCTAATTTTGATCAATTGACTTTTATGCACAATCAAATAGAAAACTAATGTTCTGATACCACTGATGAGTTTTCTAGGTTGTAAGAATTACATATGAGCGGAAAAACACTTAACCCTTAACTTCAAATGCAACCTGGTTTGAATATATGTTTTCTCTATTGATAACAATAAACAATGAATATCAAGAAACCCTAAAGAGAGACTATGAAAATAGAAAATCACATAAAGATTAGGGTTACATACCTCTTGATTATTATAACAAATTATCAAATTGAATCATCTTGTAGTTCCTTGGAAAGCAAGCACCAACAGCTTGAATGCCTCTAATAGCTTGTACTAAAAAACCTAATGACTATAGGACTTGAAAAGAGAGGGGAGGCTAGAGCAAAATTTCGGTTCTTGAGAATATGAAGGAGTTGACAAAAATAAGAGACCCTAGGGGTCCTATTTATAGTTGATAAGGAAGCATTGTATAACCCTTATAATAATAATAATAATAGTAATAATAATATCTTGAATTAGGTAATTATCCATCTCCATATTTATCTAATATGATTAATCTAGAAACCCTAATACACATAGCCAAAACTGGTCATGCATAGAAGATTCTAGAAACTCTGTTTTGCTTAACTATTGAACAATTACAGCTTAGCCCATGCACTTGTAATTAATTCTAATGAACTCGAAATTAATTCGAATTAATTTCTAATTAATTCTTAATTAATTATTAGTATTTCTAATTAATATATTAATTATATAATATATTAATTAATCATTTGTTACAATTTATTAATCATATAATAATTTAACAAATCATTCTTTCTCTCTCCGAAAATCATTGTATTCAGTTATTGGTTATGAGGGCAACCCAAAAAAAGATTTTGCTTCTATTTCAAGAATATACCAATTTAGTTATTGGTTTAGACACCTTAATTTAACAATTCGTTGACTTTCATTAGTCGGTTGACCTTAATGAGAATTAAACAAAAATGTAAGTTGAGTTTTTTAGACAAAATATTAAGTTCGTTGGGTTTTCTTGAACAGACAAAACGTAATTAAGGTTTTTTGAACGATTTGATAACTTCGTTGGGCTTATAAGTTATTTTCCTTTTAAGAATAGCGATGCTTGAATATCCATCCCTATGAGGCTTCACAAATGTTTTACGATATCCGTGTATGAATGTTTGTTTTGTTGTGTGTAATACCATTAGTTCTAGGGACCCAAATGTGACAAAAAATGTGGATTTTGGATAAAAGAATAAAAATAAATTCTTAATAGACTGAAGACGCAGATTGAATATAAGTCCTTACTCCTGAGGCTAAACTTGTAGTTTATTTCTTCCTTTTGATAATTCGGTTTGCCTTTCAACTTAGTGCGTAAAGTCTAGATAAGTGGTGTTCCCATTCCATAGTGAAGACGCTAAACAAGCCAATGAAATTAATTCTTCCCTTTTACAAAATTATGTTAAAAAGGAGACTTACCATTCATGACCTAATTCCTCTAGTTTTCAAACAAAACCAACATGGGATTGTAATATTATATTAAATGAGATCAGATACAATATTGCACCAGAAAAAGTTAGTGCAAAAAGACAACAACTTTACGATGCTGTCTTTGTCTATGATAAAAACTAGTTTTCTATTTTGAAGTTCTCTAGATCTACTTCTAATGTACTATACGAGTTGGTAAGATACCAGATGGCTGCTAGTAAATAATCTATGAAAGAAACTCCGTCAAGGATCCCATTAACACTTTTTAACGCATTATCTATTTAGCACTTAACCTGTACAGTGTGGGCATGTGGATGCAAGGACAATATCTGCACGGCTGAAGCATTTCTGGAAGTAAAAAAGCTACAAAGTGTCTGGACGAAAGAATTATTTTAGTTCCTAAAACGCTACAAGTGTCTTGATAGAACCAGTTGAGTTTTGAGGCTCTTTTCTTTCAAATCAACTTCAGCTATAATTTGTTGTGGCGAACTTGGTTCTGTTGTTTGTCTGGTAAACTTACATTATCTCCATTGACACGAAGCCTAATTAAGGGGAATTTCAAATTATAAAATATCTACCGTGTTATAGAGTATTAAGGAATGTTATGACACATGTCCACACATACGACTTTACCTAATGATTTGGTGAAAAAAAATGAAGCTCAACTAATGTAAACGATCATCTTAATTATAATATATATCCTTGGAAGATAATCAACGTTATTAGTGCCTTACGTAAGGATACAATATTGATTTGTAGTGCTTTGTGAGTGTTGGGCATTGTTAGATTAGTGACATATATATGTCATGCACCCTATCTTGACCTACCCAACCAGAAAAGATGATGCAAATTGATTTTTTTTAGCCACAGACAAAAGCTTCATCCTTTTTTAATATTTGTTCCGTATATGGAAAGAGATCAGCAAATCTTGTGTATAAATAAGCTCGATGTCATTAGAGAATCCACATATCTTACATTTAACAGTATTCCCTCCGGGCTCCATTGTACATTCTCTTGTAAAAATGACTAACAATAATGGAGTTGAATGGAGTATCAGGATGGGTGATGGATCATCAATGGTGTTGGAGCCAGAGCACAAGTATGGAGTCATGAGAATATGGGATGGATTGAAGGGTTTGATCATGAGGTTTGTGATGAGAGTGTGGATGTTCTTGAAGAAAGCATGGGATTTAGGGGTGGATGAGCCTAGAAAGTTCTTCCATTGCCTTAAAGTTGGTGTAGCTTTGATGGTTGTGTCATTGTTTTACTATATGAGACCTTTATATGATGGTGTCGGTGGCAGTGCCATCTGGGCTGTTATGACTGTAGTTGTTGTCTTCGAATATACAGTTGGTAGGTATTCAACATTCTCGTTATCAGATCTTTGTTTCATTTGTAGAAACACGCTAATGTGTGTGCGCATGTTGCAGGTGGAACGTTATACAAGTGTTTGAACAGAATCTGTGCCACTCTTCTTGCTGGATTCCTTGCACTTGGGGTTCATTGGGTTGCTAGCCATTCAGGACACCAATTTGAGCCATTTATCATGGGAACTTCTCTTTTCATATTAGGTAACATCAAGAAACCAAATTCATCAAATTGTATGATCAGTGAATTAATACGCATAGCATTGCTAATTAATGATCTTTCTTACAGCTTCTGCTACAACCTTTTCAAGATTTATACCTGTGGTGAAAGCCAGATTCGACTATGGTTGCACCATCTTCATTCTCACTTACAGCCTGATCTCAGTCTCAGGGTACCGAGTTGAACATCTCCTGCATGTGGCCCATGAAAGGTTATCAACGATAATCATAGGGACTTGTTTGTGCATTATCACCAGCATGCTTATTTTTCCTGTTTGGGCTGGCACCGAGCTTCACCTTCTGATCCCTCGGAACATGGATAAGCTTGCAAAATCGCTAGATTGTGAGTGCTAATAACATATATACGTACCAATAATATATATAATAGCAGTTGTCGAAAATTTTCACTCTTAATTAATCATTTTTTTTTTCTTATAGGTTGTGTAGCTGAGTATTTTGGTCATGATGATGAGGAATCTAAGAAATCATCACAAGGTTATAAATGCGTGCTAAATTCAAAAGCTTCCGAGGAGGCCATGGTATGTACAAATGGCAAAGAGTTTAGCATTCATGCATGGTGTTTGGTATAACATTCGATATGTTTTTTTCATGCAGGAAAATTTTGCTAGATGGGAGCCTGCACATGGCCAGTTCAATTTCCGGCATCCGTGGAAGAAGTACCTCAAAATAGGTGCATCATCGCGCAGTTGTGCGTATTGCATTGAAACACTCACTAGTTGCTTGGATTCCAAGAATCAGGTCCCTGAATCATTAAAGAATCATCTCGATTCCTCATGCATGAATCTTAGCTCAAGCGCATCGACGGTGATAAGAGAGTTGGCAACAATCGTAAGTACAACGACAAGATCTAACAAGATAGATATGGCGGTTGAAGATATGAAAAACGCGGTTCAAGAACTACAAAATGACTTGAAATCCCTTCCAGATTTGCTGGTCCAACCACATGACAAGGGAGAAGAGTCATCAACTCCAAAATCACTCGAGAAAAACGATAGGGTTCCAAGTCAAATCACAGTAATTCCTCTCATGGAAGTCATTCCTATTGTGAGTTTCGCGTCTTTACTAATGGAAACAGCTTCAAGGATAGAAGAAAACATTGTAAAAGCAGTTGAGGAGTTAGCGGATTCGGCTCAGTTTAAGCAACCAGCAGATAAAATGAAGCCCAAAAACAATCCGACCAGCAAGATTGTCTCCGATGAAGAGGGCGCCCTTCAACGTGTCTAAGTAAATATAACTTTTACGAACAGAAGTCAAAGATATGATCATAGCATAAACAACCTCTCTGTTTGCAGGTTTAAGAATATGGTGGTATCCTGACGCACCAGGTACAGGCAGTCAGGCAGTCCCTTCTCTCCGGGACGATGCAAAAACTGACCTGGGGTAATCCCTAGCGTTTTTTTTTTTTTTTTTTTGCTCTTTATGGCAAAGTACTAAAACCAGGAAAACCATTTATTTAACCCACTGAAGTATTGTATATGTTTAATTCAGTGGAGGCAGACTCGATTTGCACTGACTTGTAGACAATCTAAAAGTTCGTTCAACACTGTTTTTCCACCTCTGGGTCCTACGTACAACTCTGTACTTGTTTCCTTTTAAAGAAAACATGGTGAATGTGTCCATTTAAATGTCATTATGATCATTTTGAACAATATAAATATGTTGGAAAATTAGTAATTTAGTTGATTACAATCCATTTACGTATGACTAAAATGATAGAATTGTCTAAATCAATAGATTTAATTACGATGCAACAAATCGAATCCTAACTATTCGTATGTACATATATAGCTTCCATCTTATCCTAGCCTATTAGTTAGCCCATAATGTGCAAGCCCAATGGCTTTCCCTTGTATAACGTATATGAACACATACCAAAAATTCTTTAGGAAAATTTGTCACATAACCAAAAAAATGAGTTGGGCTGAAAAATATGACCATGAAAATCGAATTTTTATAAAATGACCAAGGTTTCCGCAGAGATGGGCTCTGCAGAAATTGTTTATGCTCTTCGGAAGCCTAAATTCTCTGAGAGTGACATGACAGAGGTAAAATCGTAAAACCACATAAGTAAAATACCATTCCGCAGAGAACTTACAATTCTGCAAGGTGTATAATTTCCACAGAGACATATTCTACGGAAATATCAGACGAAAAGAATGCTTATTCAGATACCATTTCCGCAGAGACACCTTGACAAACCATTTTCCCTATCTAGCACTAACTCTAAATAATACAAGCTTGATATTCATCGGTAAAAATGTGGATATATGGCATGATTACCTAATAACTTCTCACTATGATCCTCATGTAAGGATTGGCTACTCAAAAGGTATGGTCAGCTTTTGAAGACTTGTTACGCAATAACAAGGGTGCTCGTGCAACCAAACTTAATAGTGAACTTTGGACTATGACCATTAGTGATCGAACTATAAACGATTGATGTTAAAAGATAAAGGTCTTATCTGATCTTTTGGTAAATATTGATTCACTACTGTATGAGAAAACCCTAGTAACTATTCTCTTAATGGGGTGTCACCCAAGTTTGAGAAGATTTACACTATTATTTGTCACTGCTTGCCATTTCCCATGTTCCGTCAAGCACGTTCAATGCTTCTTTTAGAGAAAAAAATACTCTTTCGGTCTCGCCCAAAACATCTGGTCCACACTGATTACCGTTCGGCCTCGACGATTCTTCACTGCAACTCATCCTCTACTCCTCGGCCACAAAACCACAACATGTAACGTCCCAAAAATTCATAGTAAAATTTTCATTTTTAAAACAGTAAACCATACAAAAGAGTTGTTCCAAAACCGTTTAAAGCGAGTATATTATTTAAACATCAGAGTAATGATCATAAATTACCAATGCGGAAAACTCTGGGGGATATTGTGCAGTCACGTCGGGCCCTTCCCTTTCGAACCGGAAGTACTTGAAATCATAAATACAAAACCGTAAGCACAAAGTTTAGTGAGTTCCCCAAAATACCACATACCATACGTACAATAGAGATTGTTATATGCCAACCATAGTCTTGTCATTATGCCACGAGCTGTATCATGGTCTTTCCTTGCTAGGCTCGGGGCCAAAACCATGGGTCTTACAAATAAGTGCCAAGAGTCACCTCCTGGTCTTCCATTCAAGTATCACAAAGACAACTAGCGTATTACATATAACTGCCAAGGTCCGGACCTTGGTCATGCATATAATTTGTCGGGAGCCACCATCGGGTCTTTCATACTAATTCGACCCCTTAGTATAGTGAGGAGACTCACCTGAATCACAAAGCCAACAAACACTCAGCTCAAAACCGTGCTGACCACAACTAACTGCTCTCTTGCCAAGAGATGTGTGCTTAACACCTCCTATCAATCTACACAAGGTAAACCCTAAGTCTACCTTCTAAAAAAATAAAATTTGACCAAAAGTCAACCATGCTAAAAGTCAACGGTCGAAGTCAAAGTCAACAGCCCAAATATCAACTATTCATTCTCACGTCATGACCAACCCTTAGTCACATCGTGAGAGCTCACTCAGTCCGATTCCAACTTATCACGACTCAACCTAGCCAACTCAGTCAAGGACCTGAGCTGACCTCACGACGTGGGCAGCCTTTCCTCATGTCGTGAACCCCAAGAAGCTCATCAGAAATGGGATCAACCACTCCTCACGTCGTGAGCCCTTATGTCTCACGTCGTGAGAACAGTCTGAGGCCAAAAATCCAACTTTTAAGTCCTTAATCCATTAAGCCTTGAACTCTAACTTTCTAGAAGGTCTTATAACTCCTTAATACACTTGAAAGTCGATGCTTTTAAGACATATATGTATAATACATGTCTAGATCTCATTTTGGTCAAAAGTTGAAGAAAAAGACATCCAACTTTCATGCAAGCTTCCAAAACCCAACCATTCACTAGATCTGAACTCCATAACACTTTCAAGGCCATTGTAACCTATAAAGTTGCCAACTTTATGCTTTCCATGCACTCAAACTTGCTCAACAAAGGAGGAAAGTGGGATAAAAATTAGACCTAGCCTCATATAACAGTAAAGGTGGAAGCTTGGACACTTACAATGGTCCAAAAACAATGTAAGGTGATGATGATGATGATTCCTTGCAAGCCTCTGTAAAAGATCTCCTTCTCTTTCTTTTTTTCTTCTTCTTCAAACCAAGAAAGGCTTCAAAATGACCAAGAATCAAGCAAGGGATGAAGGTTAGGGTTTTCTGAGGTGAAAGAGGGTTTTGAGCTGATAAGAAACCCTAAAATGGGTTTAGATGTGCTTAAATACGAAGGAAGCCCTAAATGATCATGGGCTTGGGCTGTATCAGCTCTCACGTTGTGAGCCTCTATGTCTCACGTTTCGGGACCAATCCCGAACGAAAGTTTCCATCTTGGCTCATCTCACATCGTGAGCCTCTATGTCTCACGTCATGAGGCTCCTTTTCCTCTAAAATCTAACCTTTTGACTCCTTGAAACCCTAAACCGAAACATCCAGGAAAACGAGTGTTACACAACAACAAATGCATGTGCAAGAATTGCAACTACGTTGAAAATTCTGACATCCATCATTACAACCCTGATGATAACTGTTGTTGGATACGATCAACATCCACATCAGGTACTGCCTTGACAGTCTTTCGGGTGGCCTCTAACCAAAATGTGCTATGTATTTCATCCTCCGCAACAACATTACCAAAGGTTGACTCTTCAACAGCACCAACTGAGCCTTCTTGGTTATGTTTCACACTCTATATCAACCCCCCTCTAGTTGTGTTTCATACTACGCGCAACACTTTGATAATGATACTACATTGGCAGTTGTTCCCTCTCGTGAACCCGAACCAGCGATCAGACCTCGCCCAAGCCTTGAACTCAATGTCCCTCTCGGATCATCTAGATGCAACTTGGTATATAAATACAAGGGTCGCATCTCACCTTGCCTCGGACTAAGGTATACTCCATTCTATTAGCAATAAGAGTTATATTAGAAATGTCCTTATTGGTAATCGTTTATTAATACCTGTTACTCACATTAGTTATACCGATATACCTACTCATTACCACCCATAACACTTACACAATGTTCTTACTGTCACTCCTAATATTATCAAAAACCTTATATACGTACGTCAATTTACCAAAGATAATAAAGTTTCCACTAAATTCGATGAGTTTTGCTTTCTATGAAGCACTTCGGCACTCGACGAATAATTCTTAGGTATGATATCTTGGGATATCTTTATGTAGCTCCCTTGAAGTCCTGATCTCCTGTTGCTCTTGTCTTATACAGTCTGTCCTTATGGAACCAATGCCTCGGCCATTCATGCCTACGTGTTCTTCAATCATTAATTTCAAATAATTTTATTGCTTGTAATAAAAACATTAGTATTGCTTCTTGTCATGCATGTCGTATCGGTAAACATTTATGTTACCATTGTTCTATTTTCATTGTCATGCATGTCCTATTAGGAAACATGTCTGGTTACCGTTTTACTATTTTCCTTGTAATAAGTTAGGGATGTTATTCAGGTCAGAACTGGACCTGACCCGAATAACCAAAAATTGAATAAGACTAATTGGAGGAATTGAAAATCGGATCGATTAAACCAATACGAGTCAGGTTCGGTTATTACCCAAATAAACTGAATAACACTTACAATATGATTAAGGACCGAATAGAACCAAAAATACCGAATCAAACCGAAAAGGACCGAATAAACCATATTGTTCGGAATTTTTTATAACTTAGGGGGGGGGGGGGTTTGTAATTATTTAAGGTATTAGAAATGTAATAAGATATATTTCATCAATGTTGTCCATCTTGAATTGATGTCGATACTATGTCGGTTTTCACCTTGAATTTCTCGAGAAATCTAACCATAGCTCTACAAATATTTAAATCATCTTCTACGGAGGGACAAAACATTTCGAACATATGTAGGATCTATTAAAATAAAGTAAATGTTAGTTGAAAAAAACACATCTATAATACCCCTTGTTTAGGAGCCTGAATCTCATTGAATATACAACCAAAAAATACATGTCAACAACAGTTTAAACTGTGAACTATAAAGTGAAAAAAAATCGGGGAAATAGGACAAATAACAAAGACGTTATAACAGTTCAAAGTTGCTCTAAAATTTTGTAAAAATTCTGAAAAAGAAAACTCAGCTTCAATACCCTCTGTTTAGAGGTCTATATCTCATTGAATATATAACAAAAAATACTAGCATATAAATTATGTAAACAGCTTGTTAAATTGAACTACATGCTAGAAAAAACAAAATGGAGCAAATAACGAAGACATTAAGATAGTTTAGAGTTGTCCTAAAATTTTGCAAATATGATAAAATAAAAAAATATAAATATAAATAAAATTAAATAAAATAAAAAGCAATGGATAGCTTATTCGGGTCCGGTTCCTTTAGAAGAGATTCAACAGTTATTTGGGTAACCCGAAAACCGAATAAGTCTAAAATACATACCCCGATAACCGAACCAGATAACTTATT